GATGCCCTCAATGTAGGAACGCCCCTATTATGGAGACACCCACACTGTAGAGACGCCCACAATGTAGAGATTTCCTCACTCTAGAGACGCCCTCACTGTAGAGATTTCCTAACTCTAGAGACTCCCTCACTGTAGAGACGCCCACTGTGGGGATGCCCCTATTATAGAGACGACCGCACTGTAGGGATGTCCCTATTATAGAGACGCCTATACTCTAGAGACTCCCTCACTGTAGAGACCCCCTCACTCTAGAGACTCCCTCACTTTAGAGACACCCACACTCTAGAGACTCCCTCACTGTAGAGACGCCCTCACTCTAGAGACTCACTCACTGTAGAGACACCCACACTCTAGAGACTCCCTCACTGTAGAGACGCCCACACTCTAGAGACGCCCTTACTCTAGAGATGGCCTCAATGTAGGGATGCCCTATTATAGAGACACCCACACTGTAGAGACGCCTTTACTCTAGAGATGCCCACACTGTAGAGATGCTCACACTGTAGAGACGCCCTCACTGTGGGGATTCCCCTATTGTAGAGACGACCACACTGTAGACACACCCTTACTCTAGAGATGCCCACACTGTAGGGACGCACTCACTCTAGAGACGCCCACACTCTAGAGACTCCCTCACTGTAGAGACTAGGGTTGTCAAAAGTATCGATACTCAAAAAAGTATCGATACTGAAATGTTGTATCCGGATACAATACTCGTTTTTAAAAGTATCGATACAGTGCCACCACCAGTGGCTCCTAAGCAGTCATTCATCTAAAGAGCAGAATAGAGGACAATGCACTTTCTGAACACTGTGTGATTGAATAATTCTGTGCACTTTTCAGTTTTAGACCTTTTTTTTGTAAGAGGTGCAGCTGCTAAGAATTATTTTTGTTTCTTAACTGGTTTGGCTAGCGTCATTGTTATGTGTGCAAAGCATAGCCAAGGAAGGTATACTTAATTTTAATTTTATACGTTTTTTATCAAGCTTGCTTAATATTGTGCACAGCATACAACCTTTATTGTATGTATTTATTGTATTTTATTTATTAATGTTAATATTTCTGTAGAATTTTAGAGTCTTTGTTTTTATCCTTGTGGTATCGAAAATGGTATCGAGTATCGAATATTTTCCTTAGTATCGGTATTGAGTTGAAAAGTTTAGTATCGTGACAACCCTAGTAGAGACGCCCTCACTGTGGGGACGCACCTATTGTAGAGACGTCCACACTGTAGAGACGCCCTCAATAAAGAGACGCACTCACTCTAGAGACGCCCACACTCTAGAGACTCCCTCACTGTAGAGACGCCCTCACTGTGGGGACGCACCTATTGTAGAGACGACCACACTGTAGAGACGCCCTTACTCTAGAGACGCCCACACTCTAGAGTTTCCCTCACTGTAGGGACGCCCTTATTGTAGAGACGACCACACTGTAGAGACGCCCTTACTCTAGAGACGACCACACTCTAGAGACGCCCTTACTCTAGAGATGAACACACTGTAGAGATGCCCTCAATGTAGGGACGCCCCTATTATAGAGACACCCACACTGTAGAGGCGCCTTTACTCTAGAGATTCCCACACTGTAGAGACGCCTTTACTCTAGAGATGCCCACACTGTAGAGACGCCCACACTGTAGAGATTTCCAAACTGTAGGGACACCCTTATTGTAGAGACAACCACACTGTAGGGATGCCCTTATTATAGAGACGCCCACACTGTAGAGACGCCCTCACTGTAGAGACGCCCTTACTCTAGAGACACCCTCACTGTAGAGACACCTTTACTCTAGAGATGCCCACACTGTAGAGACGCCTTTACTCTAGAGATGCCCACACTGTAGAGACGCCCACACTGTAGAGATTTCCAAACTGTAGGGACACCCTTATTGTAGAGACGACCACACTGTAGGGATGCCCTTATTATAGAGACGCCCTCACTGTAGAGAAGCCCACACTGTAGAGACGCCCACACTGTAGAGACGCCCTCACTGTAGAGACGCCCTTACTCTAGAGACACCCTCACTGTAGAGACACCTTTACTCTAGAGATGCCCTCACTGTAGAGACGCCCACACTGTAGAGATTTCCAAACTGTAGGGACACCCTTATTGTAGGGACGACCACACTGTAGGGATGCCCTTATTATAGAGACGCCCTCACTGTAGAGAAGCCCACACTGTAGAGACGCCCACACTGTAGAGACGCCCACACTGTAGAGACCCCCTTACTCTTGAGACGCCCTCACTGTAGAGACGCCCTTTCTCTAGAGACACCCACGCTGTAGAGACGCCCTCACTGTAGAGGCGCCCACACTATAGAGATGCCCACACTGTAGAGATGCCCTCACTGTAGAGGCGCCCACACTCTAGAGATGCCCACACTGTAGAGACGCCCACACTGTAGAGATTTCCAAACTGTAGGGACGCCCTTATTGTAGAGACGACCACACTGTAGGGAAGTCCCTATTATAGAGACGCCCACACTGTAGAGTTTCCCTCACTGAAGAGATGCCCACACTCTAGAGACACCCTCACTGTAGAGACGCCCTTATTGTAGAGACAAACACACTGTAGAGACGCCCTTACTCTAGACATGCCCATACTGTAGAGACGCCCAAACTGTAGTTTCCCTCACTGTAGAGACGCCCTTATTGTAGAGACAAACACACTGTAGAGACGCCTTTAGTCTAGAGATGCCCATACTGTAGAGACGCCCTCACTGTAGGGACGCCCCTATTATAGAGACACCCACACTGTAGAGACGCCCTCACTGTAGAGACGCCCTCACTGTAGAGACGCCCACACTGTAGGGACGCCCCTATTATAGAGACACCCACACTGTAGAGACGCCCTCACTGTAGAGACGCCCTCACTGTAGAGACGCCCACACTGTAGGGACGCCCCTATTATAGAGACACCCACACTGTAGAGACGCCCTCACTGTAGAGACGCCCTCACTGTAGAGACGCCCACACTGTAGGGACGCCCCTATTATAGAGACACCCACACTGTAGAGACGCCCTCACTGTAGAGACGCCCTCACCAAAGAGACGCCCTCACTGTAGAGACGCCCACACTGTAGAGACGCCCTCACCAAAGAGACGCCCTCACTGTAGAGACGCCCTCACCAAAGAGACGCCCTCACTGTAGAGACGCCCACACTCTAGAGACGCCCACACTGTAGAGACGCCCTCACTGTAGAGATTTCCAAACTGTAGGGATGCCCTTATTGTAGAGACGCCCAGATTGTAGAGAAGCCCTCACTGAAGAGATGCCCACACTCTAGAGTTTCCCTCACTGTAGAGACGCCCTTATTGTAGAGACGAACACACTGTAGAGACGCCCTCAATGTAGGGACGGCCCTATTATATAGACGCCCACACTCTAGAGACACCCTTACTCTAGAGACATCCACACTGTAGAGACGCCCTCAGTGTAGAAACGTCCTAACTCTAGAGATGCCCACACTGTAGAGACACCCTCACTGTAGAGATGCCAACACACAGCTGCAGATATGTGTTACAGGACAAACCCATCTACTGTGGGACATGTTATCGTTTAGGAACCCTGATTTTTTGGGTCCCCATGGTTCTGGATCAGACGTACTCTTATTTACAGATTTGATCTATTTAAACCAAAATAAAAGTTCACCATCATTCTACAATCTGTTTAATGAATCAGCTCCACTTTCTGGAAATTACTTTTTTTAAGTCACTAATTTTGAAAAGTTTGTTTAGTGAAAACAGGGGGGGTTTACCATTAGGCAATACTAGGTTGTTTCCTGGGGGCCCCATAAAACTCTGTTTCCATGTACGGTTAATACAACTATTCCTTATTTGTTCACATTAATTATGTTTTTGATAAAAATCCTTTGGCTGAAATGCCCCCACCCCCCCACCCCCCCTTCAGTGTCCACCATATTGGATCAGTCCATTTGCTGCACATGTTCAGAAAGGTCCAAACAGACAGCAGCAAACCATTAGAAAACAAACCATGCAAAGAGCAGTGTTGCCAACTTAGCGCTTTAGTCGCTATATTTAGCCACTTTTCAGACCCCTCTAGCACTTTGATTTCTAAAAAGCTCCTAGTGCCAAATCTAGAGACTTTTTTCTGCTACTGGAGACTTTGGAGACAACATCTAAAAGCAGCGAACTCTGCTCTCCAGAGCGAGTAGATTGGTAACCCCGCCTCCTGCTCTCCTCTATCTTGTCTGCTGTCATGATTCATGCAGCTATTATTTCATCCAAATGAAAAATGGAGAACAGATAAGCAGATCATGGCTTGTCTACAGTGAAAAGAAGGACTGGGTTATTTACTTTGGCCTTTTTGGAAACACAGGAAGGAGCAATCAGCTAAGTGAGCTTAGTGCTTGGAAAAAATCTTTCATTCCTTTAGAGACAGCATGAAAAGTCAGCTGAGTACAAAACATAGAGAGGAAAACAAGAAGAAAAGGGACAAGAAGAGAGGGACACAACCTAGAACAGATAATGGATGTCTATTCTATTAACATTTCTCTATCTGGAGAATGGGGCTGTTCTATGTGTTGTCTTCTCAGAGGGCCCCCTGCCTGTCTGTGCCTAGGGCCTCAAATTTCCTAAATCCGCCCCTGATGAAAAAAGTCACAGAAGTTATAAAAGTCCTTCCTGCCTTCAGTGTTTACAGTCAGACTTAAAGCTTTAGTTTAGCTTTTCCTTTTAGACTTGGAAATTAAAACAAAATAAAAACTATAAACTGATCAATTCAAAGCATTTATGGTTTAATTCGCTGAAAAATTATCGTTTGGTTTTAGGGATTTAAATCCTCGATGAAATAATTTATCTTTAATCTTTAAAACTCTCTCTCTCTTCAGGAATCTCTTCAGGAATCCTCACTGCGTTTAAAAAGATTAATCCTCGGAAATATGTCTTATTTTCACAACAAATAAATCCATAAATCTGCATAACAATGAAAAACACCTAAAACACCGCAGATAAATTTATAAAAGATTCAGTTTTTACCTCATGGGTCCATCAGCTGCCTCTGCAGCTCTGCAGCTCCTGGCTGAGAGCGGAGCGCCCCTGTGACGTCACGGACTGCTTCGCCCCGCCCCTCGGTGAGGCGCGCCCTGGGGGAGGACAGGACCCGCATGGTCAGGGACATGTGGAAAGAGGAGCAAAAAAAATTCAACAATTGCAACAAGAAATACTTTAGTTTCAAAGATATTCAGTAAAAATATGAACTGTTTGATAATTATACCTGAAAACACCTGTAGAGGCGCTGCAGCTCACTTTTAAAACCTTATTTCACAACAAATGAGTCAAAAGCAAATATCAGAGGAGAGGAAACAGAATGAAAGATTAGAATAAAATCTAACTGGAGGGAAGAAAATGAAAACAAACACATTTTCTGGCATATTTTACTTTTAGTTTGAATGTTTTCAATTTTTTGATGGAGATTTATCTAAAATCATTAAAACATATTTTATAAAGGTGTCACTAAGTTTACGTCACTGAATAACAGAAAATTAAAAGGACGATCTTAGGCTGTCGGTGAAATGACATCAGTAGTGATCTGCAGTGGTGCAACGAGTGATTCAGGTGATTCTTCCTTCTTTATTTGCACTAAATTCATCTGCTTCCATTGGTGCTGTCCCAACCTCCATCCATCATGGACGCCACCTTCCACCCTCTGCAGCAGACTGGAGAGGAGCTGAGCAGCTCCTTTAGTCAGAGACTTTTACAGCCTCAGTAGGAGCGCTGCTGCAGCTCATTCATCCAACCAGACTTTAGAATGAGACACTACAACAGCAATAACTGCTGCAGTGGAGAATAATTACTATTTAATACCCTGAGCAATAACCTGTTTCTCTATATAAACACCCTGTGCAATAATCCTACTATAGATAGAAAGCTGCCCTATGTGGACGCCCTGTATATACTGTATATATCCCATCATGCACCTCTTTCTTCCTTTGGCTCCTTCTACTTTAAGTATTTGAGCTGTGAGATCAATCAAACAATCAAACTGAATCTCTTCTGTAAAATGTTTTATCAACACTCACTGTTTTTGGTGTTTTTTCTATACAGTGATCTTTATTTGAATTTAAGGGTGGAGGTATGGCTATTCAGAATATCTAAGATTATATTTATTTAGGCTAGTTAAATAATCTGATTACATTACATGAAGATCTGATGAACTTTAAACAGAAGTTGTTTCCCTAAACTAATGTGGAACAGCAATGGACTTTTTTCTTTTAAGTTATTCCCTGGATTGTTAATAAAACAGGACAAGTGTGCAGTAAACCCGATCAGTGAAGAAGCTGACATAACAGACGAAGGTCACAGATATCAGAATAAATGTTGAAAACACCTAATCTGCTAAAATTCTGCTAAAAACTGCAGATTTTCAGATCCATCTCCTGGAATTTAACTGGGTTATTCCAGCCGTTAACAGACAACAATAACAGAATAAAAGTCACAGGAAAAACAGACTAAACATCCCAGGATCACTTAGAGACAGCAACAGCTGAAGACAAGCCCCCCCCCCCCCCCCACCACCACCACCACACACACACACACACAATCACACACACACACACGCAGCTGCCATGCAGCTGTCATGGACTCTGTCTGCACAGGAGGCTGGAAGAGGAGGAGACAAAAACAGAATGAATTTAATCACATATCATTCTCATTATTCATAAATATCTATGATAGTAATTCATAAAAATATAAATCATAGATGCCAATATTATTTTTGAGTTTATTTGGTTTATTTTCAGTTCCATAAAATCTAAATGATACTTTCTTGATTAATTCATTAAAATTAAGTTATTTTCTTTTAACCAGCTGTTAGGGATGTTGATGCTGCAGGCAGGAAGGATCTCCTGTAGAGGTCTGTCTGCAGTGGATCTATAGAAACCTCTGACTGAAGACCCTCTGTTGGTTTCCTACAGTCTGATGAAGATGATGATCACTGCTGTCCATCATCTTCTTCATGTCCAGAGGTTCTACAGGAGATCCTAGAACAGAACCGGCCTTATGATGATGAGGATGATGATGGTGGTGATGATGTTGATGATGATGATGGTGATGATGATGTTGATGATGTTGATGATGGTGATGATGATGATGATGATGGTGATGATGATGATGATGATGATGATGGTGATGATAATGGTGATGATGATTATGATGGTGATGATATTGGTGATGATGATGATGATGTTGGTGGTGATGTTGATGTTGATGATGGTGATGATGATGATGATGTTGGTGATGATGTTGATGATGGTGATGATGATGGTGATGATGATGATGATGATGGTGATGATGTTAATGTTGATGATGATGGTGGTGATGATATTGATGATGATGATGATGATATTGGTGATGATGATGGTGGTGATGATGTTGACAACAATGGTGATGATGATGATGGTGATGATGATGTTGATGATGATGGTGATGATGTTGATGACAATGGTGATGATGATGATGATGATGATGATGATGTTGATGATGATGATGATGATGATGATGGTGATATTGGTGGTGATGATGGTGGTGATGATGTTGATGATGATGATGATGTTGATGATGATGGTGATGATGACAATGGTGATGATGTTGATGATGATGGTGATGATGATGATGATGATGATGATGATGATGATGATGATGATGATGATGATGACAATGGTGATGATGTTGATGATGATGATGATGATGAAGGTGATGATGGTGATGATGATGATGATGGTGGTGATGATGGTGATGATGTTGATGATGGTGATGATGGTGTTGTGATTCTTTAGTTAAACTCTTTTCCCAGCCCGCTGGGAATTTTTTTCGTATACTTTAAGATGTTTATTGCCCTCCCCTGTAGGGGGGGTAAAATATCTTATTTAATCAGATATTATTTCAGCTGTTATATACTGTTTATGACACACAGTCCTACTAACTTTGTGTTAGAACAATAAATGATAAAGTGGTGATGATGTTGATGTTGATGGTGGTGATGATGATGTTGATGATGATGTGATGATGATGATGTTGATGATGGTGATGATGT